TCACCCTGGAGGAGAAAGTTTTGTAGAGTATATGGCCAACTGTTTCATCGAGATGCAACGGCTTATATAAAAAGCCATAGGTCACCAAAGCGATATAATGAGACCATTGTTATAAAATATATTTATTGACAGTTTCTAAGACCATAAAACTATTTTCTCACCCAATAGGGCTTATTGTACAGAAGCATTCTCCTACGTATTTTGAAAGCCAATAGACAAGGAATTCGGTTCGTACAAAATATCACTGTATTGCTTCTTGTCTAATCTGCATTAAATTAAGTTCTTCATTACGCTGTAATAGGATATTAGCTAAGCATCAGAGGCAATAGCTCTTTAGGCCATCTGCCATAAGCAGATGGATTGCGGGCTGATGAATACTGTGGATATTCTGAATGTCTATCCAAGCTTCAGTAAAATGACACTTAGCGAGATCTATTACTTTGGAAGTTGATATTTTCCGAAATGTCCAAGAGAAGTATGACTTTATGATTTTATATAATTTTATAAATTGTCAATATGAGATGTTACGAATTATAATTGCCTGATAGCACTAAATAAGAATGCTGAGATCTTTATTTGGCAACAGAAAGAAGCCTACTTTAAGTGTATAGTTTAGTAGGCGAGATGAGAAAGCATGGCATTTAGACCTAGTCTATCCCAGGCAAGTCTAGATAATCCAAATCAGAATTGGTGAAAGAGACGAAAGGATTATTTGCTCATAAATTGGAAGGAACTATTCGTCATTATGAACCATTATAAACAAAGTCATACTATACAGCCACGCATAATACTCTATCTATTTATTCCTTTTATTGTCATCACTCCTGTTTTCTGCATAAGAGAGGGTTTAATTGAAAATTAACATATCCTTTCTTTTTTTTCTTCATTTTATTCTCAAGATTCGCCCGCCTCATTAATTTGTCCAATGATCCCAGTCCAGGATACAATATAGAATTAGAGGCTCGCAAAGGTACTCGCTTTATCCCACTTCCCTACACCGTCAAGGGGATGGATGTATCATTTGCCGGCATCCTCTCCTATCTTGAAGAGCGTCTACCCAGTTTGATATATCATTGTCAGCTCGGAGTAACGACCACAAAATGTCGAGAATCACCCAGTGCTGTAGGCGACAATCCCGATAGTGCTGATAGTCAAGGCGGATACACCACTGCCGATTTATGCTTTAGCCTCCAGGAGACAGTCTTTGCAATGTGCGTGGAAATCACAGAAAGAGCAATGGCACATTGTAATTCCGATGTATGCTCACAGTTAAATATCGCACTTGTTTCTAGCTCACTTGGATTCTTTCTTCCCTTCATTTGCGTGTGACTGCCTAAGCTTTATATTGGAAAGGGGGCATGAAATTAGTCGTATCTCTTTCTCATTTTTATTTTTAAAAAAGCTTATTTATCTGTCTTTTGTTGAGCGAGTTCAGATCCTCATTTTCAAAGTAATCCTCTGGTTTTACATTACCTTGCAAGCGAATTAATTTCCATGTAGACTACAAGATCAGGCAGTTCTGTAGGTACTTGATTTTGTGCCTTTTGGGGGCTGTCTATAAATGCGATTGAACCTATAGGTTTGATCGTATTGCCTTGGTACATAGCATATATCGCCACTCGCTTATACAGATATAGATATACTTCTCACCATATTTCCTGGGCCCTTAAAGGATTTACACTTCACTTTATTACACCCGAGGAAACCAAGACTATATTTTATTATGAGAGCAAATTTCCATAGGTTTTTAAAAGTTATTTATAGCCTCAGGGCCGCCGTAATGTCAGTTTCGCTTTTCTATTTTAACCTTGATCGATTAATACTTTATAGTAATTCTGTGGACACGTTTTGAAGATGAAATTATCTGGATAATCCGGGTTAGGTAATCGCCGTTGATATGCAGTGAATTGAACAGTTTTTTACACTTAAGTATATAGTGTTATTTCTTTTAAAACAGAAAACTGTCCTTTGTTCTCATTAACAATATTAAATGCCTTGGAAAGGGGCTTCCTGCTACTTTTGATTAGGAGCTGTACTGGATAAGCAAGCGATTTGATTTTGACCCTTTGGTTCATACCTAAATCCGTATTCCTAATTGCTTGCTGGGTCATCTGTCCCAACTTCTCGACTGAACTAAAAACTCTTTAGAAGTTGTTTGACCTTGTTTTCGCAACT